AGACTTGCTCTGACAAACAGGCAGTCCAGTGGGGACAGACTTGCTCTGACAAACACACAGTCCAGTGGGGACAGACTTGCTCTGACAAACAGACAGCACAACTGTTATGATCAGGGAGAGTTGGTTCAGCCTGCAGACTCAGTTGCTTATTACACACCCATGCTGCCTGATGTGTCAAGCAGATGACTCCAACGTCCTGAGACAGCCCATGCTAAGGCTGAAACATCACGAGATGTTTGTTGGCATTTAAGCACCTGGCAGAAGTATGGTCGATAGTGTCTGTTTATCTTCTCCCTCTTTAATCACCCAGCAGCCTTTGTGTGAAATGCTGCAATTTTTCAATCTGGATAATGTTGAAGAAAATACCGTAGGTTAATCCTTGGGCGACACAAAAGATATTTGTTCCGAGGACAACACGATTCGGCAATTACATGGTTGTCACGGTTTCCTGATAAAATGTTTTTGGGTGATCCTTTGTCAGGGGTATGCTCATTAAATTTATTTTGTCTTCTTCAGACACATTTGTAAGGTTAATTGCAGATGTACCGTAACTGAATACACATGCTTACGTCAGTTTGATTCCACACCACGGCCAAGTTTTGAAACATCCAAAGAAATATGATGTTGTTTTATGCAGTTGAAGTTTTGTAGCTCACCTGATTGAAAGTCAACTTTTGATGTCACAACCAGGTGAGCTACAGTGCTGTGACATTGTTTTTTATATGAAAAGAGTTTTCACTTGTACACCTTACCTGTAGTGTAAAATATTATGACTTGAATTAAATCAAACAAATTCATTATATATGTACAATAAATAATAGTATTCCATCATGGATGAGTGAGTGAATGTTGTTTTATGTTACACACTGTAGAATTCCAGCAGCAGTTCATACCAAATCAAGTGTGGATCATCTAAAAAAGTGTCTGACTGCACAAAGGAGCCCAACATATTTTGTGTGTGTACACAACAAATATTTTTTCAGGATATCCAACATGTAGAGCAGATTTAGAAATTGGCACTCGTCCTGTACTCCTTGCCAAACTGCCCAATAGTTACGGTATTATAAGGACGAGTAGAAATTTGCCATTATTCAGGGTTTTGCTATATGTTCTCATTGGACTAAAACTGTTAGTTTCTGCCGCTGTAGTGCAAACAATTATGCTTTTTCTAAACCCCTAGGCTAATTTCTTTTTTCTTGTATTTTGGTTTTCTCAGCTCTTACAACATTGGCAGAGATACTTAGGGTCTATTTTGGCCTCGACTCCTAAGAGACTGAAGTCTGAACTCATCTGTTCCCCATATGATCTATGCCCTAGCATTACAGAAGCACGATGGTGAATTGTGTACCATTTGGACTCCGACCATATTGGAGTTGGCACACAGAGAGAGTCAGCTCCATCGGACCACGATTGCATCATAGAAGGTGTATGAAACCTGATAATGTCAGACGTGTGATACGAGGGTGGGATAACATGTGCTTTGGATTCCATTAAAAGTCTCTTGTTGATTGGTGTCGACACATGCCTGTTTACTCTGCAGCACACATATGGAAACTGACACAGCTATGTAGACTGGTCTTGCTGGAATCTGATGGACGACTTACTCACTTAAATATGGTGTATGAGTCATGCTTGTTGTTATGAAACTGCTTTTATACTTTGTGACTGGATGAGAATTGGTCTTCAGCAACACCTTTTATTGTAAGAGGTATAACGGAGAGGATCGCAGTCATTGTTGATGCTAGTCATTGTATCCCAGTTACGTAGATCAATGCTCATGATGTCAATCACTAGATTGCCTGGTCCAGAGGATCGCAGACTTGGTTGATGCTAGTCATTGTATCCCAATTACATAGATCAGTGCTCATGATGTCAATCACTGGATTGCCTGGTCCAGAGGATCACAGACTTGGTTGATGCTAGTCATTGTATCCCAATAACATAGATCAATGCTCATGATGTCAATCACCGGAATGCCTGGTCCAGACTTGATTATTTACAAACCTGTGCCATACAGCTGGAATATCGCTTTGTGGAGCGTTAAACAACAAACAAACAAACAAATGTTATAAACTGGTGCATTGTAATATTTTTCAACTGATTGTTTATTTATTGCATGCTAATGGATTAGGATTCCGAGGCAGAAAAGTTCCCATACCTCTTACCTGTCACAATGAGTCCGTAAAAGCAAAAATCCAGTGATCACAAGGTATGACCTGCCTGATTGGCATGCAACCCCAGATTGATGCTCATGATATCGACCACCAGTTAGCCTCATCCAGACCCATGTACCGCTTCCATGATCTACCAAGTGTATTGCTGACTGCAGCGAGGACTTTAACCCTGATGAATCTTGTGTGATTAAATGTTCCCCTCTCACCATGCTCACACAGTTACTGTCCAGACAGCAGTTATGATGCTTTATCTCAAGTGGAAGGACTGCATGAGACGATGTGATTTACCTCGCCAGGGTCGTATTCCCTGGGAGTTATGTCCTTTTAGATAACAGGCCATTGTCTTGTGTGGGAAGTACTGCTACAATGTGGCCAGATGTCATGTGTCTTTGCGTCAGAGCTGATCTTCAGTGAGGCACATTCAGTCATCTGCTTTAAAGGGGAGCTAGGCTCGGCTAATTGGCAGTCCCACGAAATTTGATTTGAAAACATTCAAAAGAGGAAGTTTGGTCTGCTTGTTCATGATGTATGCCAGTTTTGCACCTCATGAAAACCCTTGTTACACAGAAAATATGTCTGAGTTTTATACATAGAGTAATTATAATATCCAGCCCAGGGCAGAACAGGGTGAAGTGCCGTTGGGATTCCAGGTTCACATAGGTCCCTTGTAGCCTTGGCTTAAAACACATCTATTGTTTAAACACTCCATAATTTTAAGGAATGGACAGTTGGTTGTTGATTATTTAACATGTCAATAAATTTACACTTTGAATACTTTTTAAGCTTAAAATGGAGGGAAGCCCAAGGTGGTTCTGACCTTAAATGTTTACCGCTTTGGAGAAACTCATGAGCATGTGTATGGTGCTGACTAACCAGTGATTGTGAGGATTGTGGGATTCAAACCCACTTTTGGGATCAGGGGACACAACTCTGAAATACAAATATGGTGCCTTTGATCATTTAGGTGCCTGAGCATAGACAGGCTGGAACAATTCTTACCATTTGACACAGTGACATATTAGGTCACTTGCTCAACCGAAACTTTGAAAGTAATGTGGCATGACAAACTTCATGACAAACTAACAAATATTTTCATTATGATGTTTTTATCTGATCCTCATTGTGACTTTCACAAACTCAAAGCAACCTGAACAACAATTTCAAAAGTGTTACAAAAAATAACCTGAACGAATTCAGAGAGCACCTTGTTTTCACTTCCAACACTTTCCTTCATGAATACTGCCGTTTGTTTCTTTCAGTGCTTTTACAAACAGATTAGTTATCAGTGTAAAGAGGGTATGATTCACCCTCGTATGTGAAGATGTCTCCGTTGATGAAAGAGGGTTGTCCCTTCTGGGACATTCACAATTTATAGGTCTCTCGCTGACCCATAGAGACTAGGAGACAAGAAGCAGTAGCCATTCATTTTGGAGTGTCGTGTTGGTTTGTGTTTCTTTCAAAGGACAAAGACAAATGGCCACTTTGTGTTGGTGTCATGCCCTGGTGTACTTTGATGTAACACTGTAGGGATTGTAGGTTAGAGAAGTCTCCTTCCCACCTGCTTGCGAACCTGGCTGTTTGTGTGTCATCATGCCCAGGCCATATATTGCTCATGCTATCAATTACTGGTTTGCCTGAACCTAAACTACATATCAAATGGGCTGCTGCGATATGGCTGGAATATTGCTGTCATATGGCTGAATATTGCTGCGATAAGGCTAGAATATTGCTGTTGTATGGCTGGAATATTGCTGCGAAACAGCCGAATATTGATGTCGCATGGCTGGAATATTGTTGCAATATGGCTGGAATATTGCTGCAATATGGCTGAATATTGCTGCGATATAGCTGGAATATTGCTGTCGTACAGCTGGAATATTGCTGTCGTACGGCTGGAATATTGCTGTAGTATGGCTGGAATATTGCTGCGATATGTATGGAATATCGCTGTCATATGGTTGGAATATTGCTGTAGTATGGCTGGAATATTGTTGCGATATGGCTGGAATATTGTTGCGATATGGCTGGAATATTGCTGCGATATGGCTGGAATATTGCTTTGATATGGCTGGAATATTGCTGTCGTACGGTTGGAATATTAATGGAATATTGCTGTATATGTATGGAATATCGCTGTCATATGGCTGGAATATTGCTGTCGTACGGTTGGAATATTAATGGAATATTGCTGTATATGTATGGAATATTGCTGTCATATGGCTGGAATATTTCTGTCGTATGGCTGGAATATTGCTGCAATATGGCTGGAATATTGTTGCGATATGGCTGGAATATTGCTGCAATATGGCTGGAATATTGTTGCGATATGGCTAGAATATTGCTGTCGTACGGTTGGAATATTGCTGTAGTATGGCTGGAATATTGTTGCGATATGGCTGGAATATTGTTGCGATATGGCTGGAATATTGCTGCGATATGGCTGGAATATTGCTTTGATATGGCTGGAATATTGCTGTCGTACGGTTGGAATATTTCTGTCGTATGGCTGGAATATTGCTGCAATATGGCTGGAATATTGTTGCGATATGGCTGGAATATTGCTGTCGTACGGTTGGAATATTTCTGTCGTATGGCTAGGATATTGCTGTCGTACGGCTGGAATATTGCTGTAGTATGGCTGGAATATTGCTGTCATATGGCTGGAAAATTGCTGCTGCTGAAACAACACCCACTGACACTCTCTTATGACTAATGATGTCAACAGTGTGATGTTATTGTTAATGTCATGTATTGATGATGCTGTACGTGTTTATCTTGCTGTGTGTGTTGTTGCTTGTCTATATGTCTCGCTCTCTGTTGTTCCAGACGGCGGAGACAGCACCAGCTACGAGTCGTACGATGAGGACAACCAATACCACGACGTGGAGCTTCTCAACAAACTCAACATCAAGCTACCAAAGTAAGTAGCTTCCATGTCTTCAGATACGACTGGACCGCCTCTGTGGTCTGGTGGATAGAACGTCTGCCTGGACTGGACCACCTCCGTTGTCAGGTGGATAGAAAGTTTGCCCCAACTGGACTGCCTCCGTGGTCTGGTGGATAGAACGTCTACCCAAACTGGACTGCCTTCGTGGTCTGGTGCATAGAACATCCGCTCGGACGAGACCGCCTCCATGGTTCGGTGCAAAGAACATCTGCCCAGAGAGTGGATCCATGAGTTTGATCCCTGAGTGCGTTATACCAAAAAACCTTAAAATGTTACTTGTAATTACCCTGCCTGGCGCTTGGCTTTAAGGGGTTAAAACAAAGACTGGTCAGCTCAGAGTCAGTATAATGTGTCTGAATGGTGTATTCAGGTTAAACTACGACACATATGGCCTTGTCATCTGAGTCACTGCAATTACTTGTCCAGAGATATGTCCCTTACGTATGCCAGGATCTAATGATCATTCATTTAACTCCCGGATCCTCCCTTTGACAGCACTGTCCTTGCTCCTGGTTTTAACCAAAGTGGTAAACATGGAATGTTTGTATCCCTTAGGGCTCTCGTAAAACAACATTAAACTGATACATGATGATATAAGTGCAGTAAGGTTCCATCATACCTGTCTCACGAACATCTTCTTCCTCCAGACGTCCCAAGAAGAAGTCGAACAAGCTGAAGAAGAAGCTGAGCAAGTCAAGGTCATCGTCCAGCTGGGAGATCAATGTGCCCTTCAAGAAGCTGGAGGACATGGCGCTGTCAGGCGACCTCCAGTACAAGGGCAAGTTGTCCTGGACCCGCAAGCTGGTTGCCCTCAGCAACGGCAACCTGGCCTGCTACAAGCCCGACAAGGAGACCAAGCCACAACTTGTGGTACGTTCATCAGCATTGGCCGAAACTCTACAGAGTATTTAGGCAGTCTTTAGTTGAGGTCTTTAACATCAAGATTGTGAAACTCTCCAGGGTGTTTAGGCAGTCTTTAGTTGAGATCGTTAACATCAAGATTGTGAAACTCTACAGAGTATTTAGGCAGTCTTTAGTTGAGGTCTTTAACATCAAGATTGTGAAACTCTCCAGTGTGTTTAGGCAGTCTTTAGTAGAGATCTTTAATTTCAAGATTGTGAAACTCTTCAGAGTATTTAGGCAGCCTTTAGTTGAGATCTTTAATTTCAAGATTGTGAAACTCTCCAGAATATTTCAGCAGTCTTTAGTTGAGATCTTTAACTTCAAGATTGTGAAAGTCTCCTTAGATGACTCACCTGACGGGGTACAAGGCTGACCTGTCAGTGATGTAGAGTGCTTTGTGTTGTAGGTGCACCTGACGGGGTATGAGGCTGCGCTGCATGAGAAGGAGAACCGAAAGGGGTACGAGATCAAGTTGACCCATCCCAACTGTGACAGCCACATCTTTGCCGTCGACTTCAAGGAGTGGGCGCAACAGTGGGCTGATGTAGGTGGAGCCACATTTACAGCACTCACTTGAACATTACGTTAAATACACCTCATTCAGGCATACCTGTGAAGATCCGGGGTAGAATAGGTCTTCAGCAACCCGTGCTTGTCGTAAAAGGGGACTATGCTTGTCGTAAGAGCCGACTAACGGGATCGGGTGGTCAGGCTCACTGCCTTGGTTAATGCATGTTAACGTATCCCAATTGCGTGGATCGATGCTCATGTAAGTCACTTAATTGTCTGGTCCATACTCGATTATTTACAGACCGCCGTCATATAGCTGGAATATTGCTGAGTGTGGCATTAAACAACAAACAAACAAACAGTTAGGACAATGAAGTGATCTGTTTAATTTTTACAAGGTCATAAAAATTATTACATTTTCATCATTGTGTGCCTAAGAACCTTCAGACAAGAAAATTGCCATGTGTGTTCCTGCCTCTCTGAATTACACCATTTTCAGAACAACCAAACATTCAAGCTTGATGTGAATCAACAAAAGTATATACAAATTTATTGCGGCCCAATTGAAGTGATTTGTGAAAGGGACATATTAGAAAAAAGCAGTTTGGTTCTTCAGGTGTAAAACTTCTAATTTGTAATATTGTTACAAAAAGAGCCCTGTTTTTTCATGCCTGGTTGCAACTGTACAGTTGTAAACTCCTTGTTACCCCTCCCTCACTCACTCCACCCACCCCTATCCCTGTCATCGTACACCCCTATCCCTGTCATCATACACCCCTATCCCTGTCATCGTACACCCCTATCCCTGTCATCGTACACCCCTATCCCTGTCATCGTACACCCCTATCCCTGTCATTGTACACCCCTATACCTGTCATCGTACACCCCTATCCCTGTCATCGTACACCCCTATCCCTGTCATCGTACACCCCTATCCCTGTCGTCGTACACCCCTATCCCTGTCATCGTACACCCCTATCCCTGTCATCCCTGTCATCGTACACCCCTACCCCTGTCGTCGTACACCCCTATCCCTGTCGTCGTACACCCCTATCCCTGTCGTCGTACACCCCTATCCCTGTCATCGTACACCCCTATCCCTGTCATCGTACACCCCTATCCCTGTCATCGTACACCCCTATCCCTGTCATCGTACCCTGCAGTAAGGATCGTTGGACGCAATAACATTCACTGGATTGTATAAAACTGCTTTTACCATCCATAAAATGAATCATAAAAAATCACACAAAAAAACGAAAAAAATCTGGCACTTGTACGTTGTCATGTTTCTTCACAGCACATCAACAATATGGCTAAAGGGTTACCTCCCCCTACCCCCTACCATCACTTGGCGCGAACGACCTTCACCCAGCAGAGCGAACATGGCAGCAAGGTAAGCGTCCACCTCATCAGTATCATCAGCTTCATCACCAGGAAGCCATCTCATTACTTCTACAAACTCCTGGCTATTTAGGTCCGACAACAAGATATACATATGTACCTTGTGGAAATAGGTTGCCAGATTTTCAGGAATATCTTTGAGATAAATTTATTTTCCTTTTTGACGGACAGGTTTCCCTTCATTTTGCAAAAATACAAAGATTTAAACACTTTTCGTTTGTATTTTTGTTAAAGCTTTTATTTCAAGATCTTTTTGTCAGATTAACTTCAAATCAGCCATAGCCATATTTTGTATAAGTTAAATGGTGCATTATTGAAGTACAGAAACCATTGGAGTTATAATTGTTGACTTGAACACTTTGCTGAATATGGCAATATGTTTCTGTCTTGTGCCTGCTGACATCTGTCTGATGCACCAAGATCTGGAAACAGATCTACTTCCGGATAAGAAGTCCCTAGCAACCTATGCAGGTCTTAAAAGGCGACTAAATGGTCGGGCTTAGTGACTTGGTTAGGGCGGTCGGGTAGCCTAGTGGTTAAAGCGTTCGCTCGTCACACCGAAGACCCGAGTTCGATTCCCGACATGGGTACAATGTGTGAGGCCCATTTCTGGTGTCCCCTGCCGTGATATTGCTGGAATATTGCTAAAAGCGGCGTAAAACCATACTCACTCAATCACTATTGACTTGGTTAATGCATGTCTTCACACCTCAGATGAGTGGATCGATGCTCATGATGTCAATCACTGGATTGTCTGGATTGACGTATTTACAGACCGCCATCATATAGCTGGAATATTGCTGAGTGGTGTTAAAGAATGGACAAAACAAACTATTTTTTGTGTTTCTCAACTAAAATATTTTCAACAGAAAAATAACAAGTGTCATCGCAACAGGAAGGTAATAAACAAGATGGCTTCTTGTCCTAACAAAATAACCTGCAATGCAATGTTAATAAAACAAGAGCTACAGTACTTGGCCCTGTATGACAGATGAAACTGATTATGATTGATGTCCAATGTACATCGCAGGTGCCCCTTTCATGTTCAAAGGCTCGATCCTTCAAGCGATCAGACTAGAAATCATAACATAACTAAAGGTTTTTATTGAGCAGCCTTTGATGGACTCTTTGTTGTTGAGAAAGCTTGAGGCAATGGCTGCTTCAGAGTGAAAGGTATATCAAAATAATTTAGCTTTTAGGAACAAACTTATATCAGAGATGTGAATGACGTTTTGTGTGTAAGGATATGTCTCAAATTTGGTCATAGAATTTCTTACAAAATAAATTTGATTAAATATAGCAATTAGCCTAGGGATGCATATGTTAGCACACCTTCCCATATTCGGTTTGTGCAGTGATAGCAAGAAACAGTTGTGCCGCATAACAACAGGGTGGCAAAGGATTGTTGTAGATTTTCCTTGGATGACCATGATTCGTAATGACAGCTGAGAGAACAATGGAAACAAGCTGAACGACATTGAGGCTCTTGTTGTTAATATAGAAAAACAAAATGACGTCACATCCGTAGTACTGAGCATTGCATTCTGGGATAGAAAATTGTAACTTGATACAGAGAAGAAATGTGATCGTTCATGGACGATTCTGAATGATAAATGACAACTGGAAATAAAAGGAAAAACCTTACGTAGGTGACAAATATATACATCTGTTGTGTAGACATCAATGTTAAAAATAGGTGAAAAGCTATGTTGATCACTGCACAAACAAAAATATAAAATTAACATTATATGAAAGTTTCACGATATATATATATATATATATCGATATACATGTATTGATTAATAATAACATTAATTATTCTGAATGTGTATAGATTAAGATTGCCACTGTAGACCTGCAGTTAATCAATTTCAGGCTAAATATGAACTAGGCTTATACATTAAATGTTTAAAGTTGAATTTTCTGCCTTCTCGTTACCATGGTAATCTTAATAGATGGAAACGTTTCTCTGGCTGTCAATTATTAAATTAGTATTGATATTCATAAATTTATATCGATACATTATTAGAAATTTGTTGATTCAGCGATTTCTCAAAATATGATGACATCCTACCTTCAGACATATTCTTCTAAATTATGATCTTTTTGTTAAGGAATGTAAAGACTTGAATTAACTGTTTGAATGGCATACTTAGAAGTTAGCAAGTAACAGTAAGGATAAGATATTGTATGGATGACAACTACTTTGTTTATTGTGATGCGGCGTTTCGGTATAGATCCTTATTTTGTCAGGCAGGAGTGAAGCCCATACTGGGGACAGTGACGTGGATTAAGTTGTACTTTTCATTGTGCAGGCCAAGTGAGGTAGTCAAGTTGTTAAGGTGTTCACTCATGACACCACATAAGACCTGGGTTCTATTCCCCATATAGGTACAATATGGGCCCATTATTTGTGGAATATTGCAAAAAGTCGCTTAAAAATTAAGTCCCTCAGTCAATAATGGCCGCCTCCTTATTCACTCTGAACACTTAACTTGTTAAATACAAAACTATGGAGTTGAAGTAACAAATCTTCTAAAACCATGTTTGTTGTCATCATCTGATTAATAAGATTGCAAACTGTGCTATCAATGCAAAAGTGCAAATGAAACTCATACGACCAGAAATTGATGTGAGCCTAAAATAAAGTTTAGCATCTAAAACACAGCAGCATTTTAAGTAGCAAATAGCCCAAATTAGAAAGCCCATATTAAAAAAAGGAGTTGACTTTTATTACAAATAGTTTCTTGAATTACAAGTGTTGAATGTAACAAACTGTGTCTCAAATGTACAGTAGCTACTCGGTAATGAAAAGCCTACTTACTCACGGAAATAACACCTACCAACTCTTGTATATGCACTGCGACATATTAATTGCACCCTTCATAAGTAGGTAACATTTTGCTTACGTTTAATCTGCTTGAGTCATGTGATCCAATTGTGAAATGTATGTAAGAACATGTTAATAATAACATGCTTGACAAGTGAAGCAGACTACTTTATGCTTGTGTATAATGGCGTAACCTGACTGAACTTTAACATTATTTGTTTAAAATTGTCAAGTATACATGTGTTGATATTTATTACACTGACACTGATAGTTATGTAAAGGTCATTTGTTACAAATATTATTTAAAGATGATATAGATTATTGACTTACAAACTTTAGTATACTTAATGTTATAAATATTATCTTTGTAAGATTGTTCTCTTTGGTGTGTTTGGGTTTGGTTTGTTAATGAAATAATATTCTGTGTGGAGTTGTTGTGATATTAATTTTGATAATCAGGTCTTTTGTGACTGTAAGGAGTAGTATAGTGTGCTATCCTATAAACTAATTATTTGTAGATGTGTGATTTTAAGAAACATAGATATTTGTTTATTTAAACTGCGTGTGCTTCCACTGACAGACTTGGTTTATGTTTCCTCGCTGTGTTATACACGAGAGTAAATGAACAATATTCCTTTAAAAACACTAACCTGTAGACAAGTTCAACAAGTTTTTTGCCAGCAATGGAACACTCTATGCTCTCTTGGTATTGCAGGTTAGAAACGGTCCCCAGCAACCAATGCTTGCTGTAAGAGGCAACGTGATCGTGTGGCTAGGCTCTGTGACTTGATTGCTAGTGTTTCTTCATACCCCAATAGTGTGGGACATTGTTCGAAATATCACTGGTTTGTCTTGTCCACACTTGATTATTTACAGCTCGGTGTCATTTAGCTGGCATATTGCAGAGTGCAGCATTAACTAACAAACAAACAAACAACTTTCAAGAACAAATATTGATCAGATTATATTTTGTTTTGTGGTGAAGATGAGTTTATGGGACGACAGTACCTCCGAGGGCCGATCCAAGACGTTAGACTCATCTGCTTCACTAGGGGCAAGTAATTTAAACATGACAACGACTCTCGCCCGATGGGACTGGAAAACGTTGTTCTACAACTGGGCGTTCCCGATAGATCACATCATCATGGGACTACGAGTAAGAATGCACGTTTACGTGTCGAGAATGATGCATCGTGGGATAGTCCAAGATTAACTGCATCATGGGAATGACGTTTTGAGTTAGACAGTGAGACACTAATGCATTATCAGTTGATATACTTTGTGTTGCATTGTGGACGTGGCGAATAATTGTGGAATAAATTAACAAACTGACGACTTGTCATAGACCTCCGTGGTTGTTCATAACAGTTGCATCATTGGAGTGACTTTCAATCGTGGAAGATTTTACTTGTAGGTTGGCTGTTGTGTTCTGTTTGTTGCAGTGGAGTGATGTGTTTGTTTCTGTTATGTATCTTCTTTCTTTAGCTTAGCTATTATTATTATTATTATTATTATTATTATTATTATTATTAGCTGCAGCATGAAATTTGTTTATCTTTGTTTACTTCTTCGTTTGCTTTCACATAAGTCCTAGGGAGATTACATGTTAGAAGTGGTCCACAGCAACCTATGTTTGTTGTAAGAGACGAATTAATTGATCAAGTGGTCAGACTTGGTGGCCAGTCAGTGTAACCTGACATGTGGATCGTTGCTCATAATATCAATCACTAGATAA